AGAGGTGTGGTTCCTGTGGGCGACCCCGGGGTTCCAGGACCCGCTTCCTTCATGCACGTGCAAAGCGATTACCACATCGACCTCACAGGAGATGGATCCATGATGTGGCAGAGTTTATTCACACAACACGTGGGGATAACTGGCAAACACTTACGTCGGACAGCAACTTGTGGTCACAATTGGAGGACGGTTATGGGCACCGTACAAACAGAGACAGGTCTACCCTTGACTGAATGAGCGGCGCCCTGGCGCCCACTCCCAGCCCCGCGCGCGGCCGCCCTCACGGGCGAACTGGGAGTCGCCTCGCCTCGCCTCGCTTCCTTCATGCCAGCAGCTCTCCCCGCGGGATCTCAGGAGGCGGGTCCGGTCAGCGTTCGCTTCGGCCGAGCCCCCCTGGGGCCGCTGCTCGGGCGGCTCTGCAGGCACCGTGGAGCCGTTCACCTGCACCCCGCTCTGACCTGGCGCGCCCCCGAGGCCAAGGCAGGGCGAGGAGAGGCTCGGAGGGAGATGCATCGCCCTCGTCCTCCTCTTGAGCTCCTCCTCGTCCTCCTCGTCCTCCTCCTCCTCCCTCCTCCCTCCTCCCTCCTCCTCCCTCCTCCCTCCTCCTCCTCCTCCTGCTGCTGCTCCTCCTCCTCCTCCTCCTCCTCCTCCTCCTCCTCCTCCTCAAAGCAGGGATTTCTCGCTCACCGCTGTGCTTCAGACGCCCTCGCACCTGTCGGCCAAGCAGTTTCCCCGTGCCCAGCCCCAGTGGCTTGCGATAGGCAACATCGTTGCCGAGGAGTTGGCCGCTCAGGCTGCTTTGGAGGCGAGAGTGGATGAGATGTCCAGATCGCGATTGCGCGAGTCAGAGAATGCGGCCAGGCTTGTTCGAAGGATACTTTTGCGTGCTAATCTGGAGGCCACCCAGGCCGACGCTACCAGGAATCCGGCCGGCAACAATGAGCGCTCTGCCCCCCCCTGCGCCTGCCTCTGCCGCTCTCTTCACCTCGGCTCACGCTGGCCGCCGATGGAAAAGCCGCCAGAAGTGTCGCGGTAGCACGTCTCAGGCTCAGGCTCAACGCACAAACTGATTGAACAGCCCGTGTGTGCCAGTAATCCCTCAGGATATTGTCTTTTCAAGATTGCCGAGGGGCCTGCGTATTCAAGTTGGCGGGAGGACAACTCATACCTCCCACAACAGCAGCATGCTTTTCCATAATGGTTTGAAGCTTTGTTTTTTTTTCAATTCCTGTAAGCCTTCGGGAATCAGCAGATCAGATCTTCACGCAGGCCTGTGTGCCACCCGCACCCACATGTACCAGTTATCTCAGCAGGATCTATGAGGGCAGATGGTCCAAATTCAAGTAGCCTTAACGGGGGCCGAGCCGAGTGCTCGTGCCTAGTGTTTGAGAAGTGTAACTTTGCTTCTTGATCGGTCCTATCATATCCTATCTTCCCCTCCCTCCTCGCCTTACCCCTTCCGCCTCGCCCCCTCCCTCCCTCCCCGCCTCTCATTGGCATTGCGTTTGGCCTGCTCGAGCGGAGGCCTCCCTCCTCCTTCCGCTCGTGCTGCCACTGCCATAAGCGGCAGCATACGGTGTTCGCGCAATCCTCTGGTTCGCGCCCTGCGGAACACCCTGTGCGTCTTCAAGGTCAGGGGGCGTGCCATCTCTGTCGATATCACTACGAGATGCCGAATCCCTCGACTCCTTGGTCCTCCTCCTCCTCCTGCTGCTCCTCCTCCTCCTCCTCCTCCTCCTTCTCCTCGTCCTCCTCCTCCTCCTCCTCTCCATCCCTCCTTTCCTCTCCTCCTCCTCCTCCTCCTCCTCATCCTCCTCCTCCTCCTCCTCCTCCTCCTCCTCCTCCTCCTCCCCCGCGGAGGTGCCGTGCGCGGCGGGCGCGCCGACCGCCCATGCCGAGGGGCTTGCCCAGAGGGGTGCCGCCGCCCAGCTGCTGCTGAACGGCGTTCGCAGCGGCGAGGTGGGTCGCATTATCGACGCGGCCGTCAGCGAGGCGCCCGCTCCTCCTCCGCCCCTGGACCTCCAACGTCTTGAGCGAACCAAGACGAAGGCTTCTCGCCGCTTTCGGCGTCCCGGGGGGCCCTCGTCGGGCCCCGGGGCCGCCAAGCAGCCGACCCGGGGCAAAACGCCGGCTCGGGGGGGAGAGTTGACTACACGTAAGCGTGACCCTTCGCCGGAGTGACCGTTTGTGCGGGCCCATCGGGGGCCCCGATCGCCGAACGCGGGGCGGCAGTGGCGTCTCGCGCGCTTGTGTTTGGCCCCCCCCCCCCCCGCGGCCCCCAAAAGGTCGCGCACCACAGGTCACTCTTACCCAGGGTCATTCTTGCGTGTAGCCGAGAGAGGGTCGGGTCTTCCGGGGACCCCGTATGGAAAAATCAGGGCGTCGGATGTTTGCCGAGACCCAGGCGTCGCAGCTCTGTCGCACTGGGCTTGTCCGCCCACCCCTCGGGCCCTTGGGGCCCTCACGGACCGAGGCGGCTCGGGGAAGGCCGCAGAAGGAT